ACAAATATAATATAAACATAAAATAATGATATATACATACATTCATAATGAGCACAATAAGGACATAAAGTAAAACACAGTATTGAATAACAGCAGTGTCACAAAACACATTTTGATCAAAGAGACAAAGCAAAACACAGTATTGCACAACAGTGTCACAAAACACAGTTTGAACAAATACACAAGATAATAGTGAAGACAATGAAACATGAATGAATTGACTTACAGTGGGAAGACCTCCTACAACTAATCAAAATGTGTCTGATCTCGACACAAATATTGTTCTCCTAAGAATATTTCCACTATAAAATATTTATTCATGAAAAATGCTAAGAGGATGAAAATGACAAATTCCAGAAGAGCCTCCTGCGGCCCAGTATAATTGATGCCAGGGCCCATTACTGGGCCGCGGCCCGGCGGTTGAGAAGCACTGGTCCAGAGGACTGTTTGTTGGTTTGTCACTATGACCTTGCCATGAAAACAAAATGCAAAATCATTTTTAACTATAGTATAACAAGAAATGGCAGTGTTTCAATTGGTATTACAGCGCTGACCTTTGCTGTAGACAATAGACTGTTATTAACATTCTTATTTAATCAAGCTGTCTTTTGAATACTTTTCAAGTTCATGTCACACATATTCAGTGAAACTGTGATACTCAGGTGGTCCTCAACAGCTACAATATATAAGGAGGGGGGGCTACTGGAGACGTTATCTGTGGAACCTAGAGCTAAAGACGGGAATTGTCAGATTTTCCCACTGAATTTTTAGTGGGTATTTCAGTGGGGTGCATAATTTCTGAAACACTGAGCTTTAAAAGACATTCCTCCTTTACTGATATTTTCTCGTTTACATTTTGTTGAACAATGATAACTGGATAGCACAGGTTTTAGGCTGTCATAGAGACTACTCTCCCCAATAGCTATGGGGTTGTTTAACCTCTTCTGTCCAATGTTGAAAAGTACAAACCACATGATTCTGATAACATTGAGGGCCACAGGTTATACATGTGTGCCACTGTCCATGAAATTAATTATATTTTAATTTTAATGAACGCTCTTGCTCCTTTTCCACTTATAAACAGCCCAAGGCAGCCCCGTTATATGATAATTGTGAAAATTCAAGACTCAAAAATGAACTTTTGGATTAAGGTCAAGGTGACCTTTCTCAGCTTTATCTAAGAAATTTGAGAGTGGCAAGTGCCTAGTAACTAACTAATTCCATGTAACAGAGTCCTTGAGAAAACTATAGCCACTCAGGAAATTAGCCAGATATTATGGAATATGAAGGTTCTTTTATTTGTTCACAGGAGCCTGCCATTGTGCAATCTGCCTTAATTTGTTTCAGGGAACAAACAGCTCTTTGCCCAGTGCCGGTGCAGCAGCAATGGATGCTGCAGTGCAGCACCCAAGGAAGAGTCAAGGTAATGACGGGATTCAGCTGGCAGTGAGCCATCATGTGAACTTTCTGAAAATTGCTGGAGTACAGTAGAGTGTGCCTCTGACATGCTCACAGAACTTAACCCTTTGACCATCAAGGCTGTCTGGGGATAAATGCAGCTGAATACAAAAACCCACAGTATTTCTGCAGATTACCATCAAATACCACATGTGTAGACAGTGTGAAAGCCTGTTCTTTTTCTTATACATTAATGTATGTATAATACGTATAATACCTGATGCCATCTGTCAACAGAAATGCTCCACTGTATGAGTAACATGAAAACGATCTAATTGATTCCAGCAGTTTTAATGCAAATATGCCCAGCTGATGTATTTGGCTTGGCATCTGAAGGGTTAAACAAGCAGTTCCCATAAAGCCTACTTTCTTGCTCTATAGATTTCTAGTTCTACAAATCATGATGATGATGGAAATTATTGTTGTTGTTGCAGTTGTTGTTTGCATCATTGTCATTATTTGTCTTTTAGGACATGTTGATGCATGATCTGATAGTTCACTATGTTTCAGAGGAAGGTACTGCCTTCATTTTTGGAGTAAAAGAGTAAGCCATAGCATTTGTAAGGGTGACAAGGAGTCCCTTAGTCTTGCTGTAACATTGATTATAGTTAACTGGTTTCTCAAAGAAAAGAAGGTTTTTGAGTTAAAGTCCTTATTTTCGAGAGTATGGTAAGGATAAATTATAACATTTTTAGGAAGCTGTCCTTTACATACAAAAGCATTTAAACCATAAAGCAACTATATGATTAATAAGCATGTTTTGTACAGTTTGGCAAGGGGATGGAGGCTGAATGATGTTAACAAAAGATGTGTGTTTCTTTCAGTTTCTAAAGATAATAATCAGGATACATAATTGTGCATACATTGATACTTGGTGTACTTTGTCACACTTCATCTTTAAATGTTCTGGAATTTGATTTCTAGGTCCATGTGATCAGTCATGTGTGGAATGCAACAGTCGCAGTGAAGGAGAGCTGAGTGAAGGACAAGTTATAATATGGCAGCAGTAACGATGTTCATAAGACAATGATAGCAGACAGCTATACTGCAAAGTATTGTGCACAGCAGAAATGACAGAATCACAGAAAATTTTGGAATTAAAAATATAGCAAATGGGAAATATGTTTTTGAATTTGTATGTCACTCTTTTGTGATCTGAATTCCCTTGATAATTTCAACCATTTGAAAGGTCTATGGTCCATTGTTGCTATACACTAACCTTTCTGGGTACAGACACCGAAGTAAGAGTCAGTAGGTATCTTCTGCAAGATATTCTAAGATGTAAAGAGAGCATTTCCTGCTTTCTGTTGATTTGAAATAAATGAAAGTGGTGATGAATGGAAAGTGAGTGAAGGACAGTATCATCGTTTGAGAGGATCGGTTTCATTTTACTAATATTTTAAAGGCTTGTTCTGACTCTCAGAAAGACAACTGGAGCTCCACTAAAATCGGTATATAAAAGGTGTTGAGGAAATTCAGATAATTTATTCAGTGAATGATATAAAACCCATAGATGCATTTTGTGTTTAAAGTAATAAGTTTTTTGGTCAAAGAGAAATAATCCACATGACAAGAAGATCTGTAAAGGTTTTGCATATAAAGAAAAGATCAGCTATGCAGTATTTAGTGGAATTATTCTTAAATCTCCTTTGGTCCAAATTCTTCCTGGGTATTATAATCTCAGTGTGTGAAAATGTTAAGAGTGTATCATCCTGTACTTCTGGTTTCAAGTTTTCAGCATTCTTCACGTATTTCTGAACTTCAGAAACAATCTTTATAAACTTTTGTGCCTTAACAGTGATGTTATTTTCTCAGGAATATGTAAATATTCATATCATGTTACATGTTTAATAAAGACTCCATGTTATCCAACTGAAAATTGTATACTATTATGTTTTAACCCTTTGTGTGCTGAATTTTTGGGCTCTTTTAGACTAGAGAAGTGTTGAAGGGCATAAGTGTACAGCTATAATCTAATCTAGCTAACATAACATGACCTACACTAACTTAATGTTATAACTTATCTTAATCTAACTTTTAACTTAAACTAATATAACTAACCTGACCTATCATGTCAAGAAACATATACATATGTATAGGATAAAGTTTTAATGTAAGGTTAGTGTGTTACCCAATTATACTTCACAGTGGTTTAGTAGAAACAGCAGGTAAAAATTTAGTTACATGATGAATGAATTCTTAAAAGTATTTTATTATTTATAGGTGTTCAGACTCAATTAACCTTCCTTGTCTGCGAGTAGGGGATTTTAAGTCAAGAATATTGCCATCTGGCATGTGATGTCCTGTAGCCTTTTAGGAGTTTATTAACACAGTTAACTATGTATTGGTAACTGGGTCTTCTTCCATCAGTTAAAAGCAGGGAACCTTCCCTGGTGGGTCTGTTACGATGTAGATGAAGCTGATTTTGGGACTGAGAGTAGCTTCATCTCAGAAAGCAAACAGAGTATGTTTTATGCTTTTACGTGATGACAGAAACAGAACCAGCTTCTGAAACTTTGTGTTTCTTTAACAAAAATTGAAATGATTAATGTCCAATATATATATGATTTAATAACATGTCTTTGTAACAAATCAGTGACTTCATCCTAGACCTAGAAATAACGAACATTATGTTATAAGCTTAGTAAAAATTCTTCAGATTCTTTTATTTAATTTCACTTTACTTTACTTTATTTACAGACACTTAAAGAACATTGTGAGACTCCTATGTGTGCTGCCAGGAATTTTTCTGGAGGGGAGAAGTCAGGAAATTCGCTTACAAACTTGTATTTAAGCCATTTAAGACGTTTTGTTAATTAAAATGAATTTAGTATTTGTTATAAGTATTTATTATATCTACTTCCTTTCTTTAATATTGACTATTCTTTTCTTCAAGCATTGAAAGAGGGACAGGCATTTAATTTGCGCGCGCCACCTCCACCCCCACCCCACCACCACACTCATGGCGCGCCCGATTTCTTCCGACTTTGATCGAGTGATTCCGACCTCGAACTCGAACCTCTCGACGCAACTCGAACGTTAGCTCTTGACCTCTTGACGTCCATTTCGAGCTTCGAGTATCGTTTACGTTTAATGTCATATTTTGTGGCGGGCTCTTGTGAACACAATGCTGAGGAACTTGCCTAGCTGAGCGGCTGTTAGGTTCTCAAGGACTCTAGTCCACCTAGTTAATCCTGTAGTTTGTTACAGTGATTTGTGTGGCTGATGTGTAGCAGAATGGTGATCGTTAGTTTGGAAATTAGAATGTCACAATCGCTTTTCTCGCATCATTTCCGTAATGAAGACAAACTCCGTCTTATCATCAAGCTCTTATAATGTTTGAAAGACTATTTCATTTCCTCAAGAAAGACGTGTGGCGTGGTAATAACTCGGTGCAAGACAGCGACAGATTCTATTGGAATGTAAGGTAAGAGCTTTATTTATAATTTATACTATTCACTTAATACCATTAGAGCCGGGATAACACAGTCGGCATAGCTACTGGCTACGAGCTGGACGACCTAGAGATCGGAGTTCGAGTCCCGGATAGGGTCAAAAATTTTCTCTTCTCTACGTCCGGATAGGCTCTGGTGCCCACCCAGCCTCCTATCCAATGGGTATCGGGGACTCTTTCCGCAGGGGTAAAGCGGCTGGGGCGTGAAACTGACCACTCACCTCCAGCTAGTGCCGAGGTCAAGAAAATGTGGGTCTATACATCCACTCTCCCATACGCCTTCATGGCATAGTGCTTAATTAGTTAAGTACAGGGACAGTTTTTGCTCAATACCATTAACGTGACCAAACTTAGGAGAATAGTATGGAGTATTTAACTACCCTATTTAACTGCATAGTTAGGGCCGCGCCATAGCTCAAGCGGTTAGTCGCTGGCTTCCTACCTCGGCGGCCCGGGTTCGATCCCGTGGTCAAGTGGAATTTGAGGTGGACAAAGTGGCTCTGGGGCAGGTTTTCTCCGAGTACTTCTGTTTCCCCTGCCAATCTTCATTCCACCAATTGCTCCACAATCACCCTCACCTATCATCTGGGGCTGGTACAATAGGCCAGAAGTGGCCGCAGTGCAAGGGACTTAGTCCCATCCAACTAGCAACAAAAAACAACTGCATAGTTGCTACGTCTTCGAATGGTGGGTGTGTTGCGAATGAACTGAAAAGGTCATGGAATGAAGAAATCATGCCAACATTTTCTAAATGGGCTGAGGAAAATCAAGAAGTATCTAATGTCTGGATAGTCGGTCTTCGGACCGAAATATAGAAGCTGGACCTCCCGACGACAAAGCATGAATGCTAACCCTTGGACCGTGACGTTCAGCAAAACAGGAGTAGAGAAATGAAAGAAGTGACACGGGGAATGCAGATAATTAATTAGTCATGTATTTCCCATTAGTTTTACTTAGGAAAACTTAAAGTGTCGCTAGTTCTGACTGACGTATCACGGATATTTTATAGCATAAAATTAGCCTCAGGCGAAAGATCGAAATCGTGTCTTTTTCGATTTCATCCTACTTTCAGACACGAGTACCTCTCGTATTAATTTTGTTGCTATCAAAGGATCTTCAACGCAGTTTGTGGCAGTATCTATATGTTCAATGCACACCCACAACTTTAGTGTGATCCTTAAAAATATTCTTTTTTTTTCTTGGCCTAGGCCTACCTCCATGAACTTCTCCGTTCACAAAAATATTCTTCAGCTGCCTAAATGTAAGTCTGTAAGCAGACACTCACCCAACCCTAGCAATTTGAACAGAACAAGGATTCTTTTCATCCTGTTCATCAATTTCAGAAATACAATGATTTTAATGGAATTCAGACAGTACATAGAGTGCAAAATAATAATTCTAACAATAACCTAAGCAGTTAGAAACGGTGAAAAATAATCAGAGAACAAAATTTTTCGAGTGAGTTTGGGCCAAATATCGTTCAAGGAGGTGGTGTCCTCTCGCGAGTCCCAGGAAAATTACTAATCCTCGCTGTGGCATTCAGGTGTTCTGCCATGTGGCTTCTTTTCATGTTATGCAACGTTCCCTGAGCGCATTAAGATAATATACTTTTAATAAAAAAAACTGTATTCAGGTGACCTCTGCATGTAATCGTGAAGTTCCTAAACCGATCAATATATTGTGTCGCGACGTACAGTATGGGATCAGTAAGGGGGCAGCCAGACATTTATTCCCCCTTCCCCCAAAATATTTTCTTTAAGTTTCAATTTAAGAAAATAACATAATATACCAAATATCACAAAATTAATCATTTTGAACATGGCAGTGTCTGTATTTCAGTACAGACCCACAACTCTAGAACGGTCCTTAAACATATTCTCATATGACGTAAACGGAAGTTTGTAAGCAAGGGCTTTCCCTCCACCGTACCCCCCCCGGAAAATATCCTAGCGACGTCCATGGTTTAGAGGCTTTCGGGTCGACAGAAAAGTGTGGCTGCAATGAACTTGCTTCCATATAAATATTATTGTTTGTCAGCTAAAGATAAAACTGTTCTGCCCTTAGTTGAGCACCATGATGTGTAAATGTATGGGGGAATGGAGAAACAGCTCCACTCATTCTTATTCGCGACACTGAACGGAGATGAGTGGTTAACAGCATTCTCCGATCGCTTCACCCTTGGAGAAGGAGCCCCGTTACCCATTGGATAGAAGACTGGGTATTGTATTTAAGCAGCCTTTTGCGTTACTACGTGTATATTCAACATTGTTTACATACAACTTTCCGTCAATAATGCAACTATTTATTTCTTCGTTTACATTTGCTTTCGCTATTAACACATGTTTCGGCCCCAAACGGCCATCCATGGGTGTTCCATTATGCCAAACCTTATACACTGCACTGGGTATTGTCCATTCCACACGCGCGTAACTGAACATTTCGTAATTAAAATGTCGCTTCTGCACACACGATAACATCATACGCGACTTGTGGGAACAACGGAGAAGCAACGGGCAAAATTGCAGACAAAACAACAACAGGCTAGTATATGGAAAGGGTGAGCCGCTGCAATGTAAACAACCGAAGAAGGGTATATTGCTTAGACAAGTGGACGACGCCCCTTATGAGGTGGAATTAGTTTTATATAATAAAAGATTTTAACAATTTTTAGTTCTTTTTAAATGGAGTGGACTGTAACATGTAAGATTTAACGCACAACATTTGAGTAAAATTGTAATTTTTTAATAAGGAAATGTTTAGTTATGCGAGTGTGGAATGGGCAATACGCAGTGCAGTGTAGCAGGTTTGGCATAATGGGACACCTGAGGATGGCTGTTTGGGGCCGAAACATGTTGTGTTAATAGCAAATGAGAATGAAGAAATAAATACTTGCATTATTGACGGAAAATTATATGTAAACAAGACTGTGTATATTCCAAGGCCTGTCTGGACGTGCTTGATTTATCCTATAGACCAGGCATGTTCAACTTCAAACTGGTTGTGATCGACCTTTTAGTGTCAAAATTGCCAGTGATCTACCACCCCCTCCTATCTTCGTACCTCGCTTTAAGCAAAAATATTGGTAAAAATAACATGACACATGATGTTTGTTGTAAAAGCAACATACATTGAAAGTACAGACTACTTTAATACGTATTTTCGCTTCAAAATCTGAATATAATAGTATTATATTACAAGTGAATTTACATGCTTTTCAAGTATGATTTCCTTGTAGGCCTATGAGCTCGACCAAAAATCGTCCCGCAATTGACCGGTCGACGCGTTGGACATGCCTGCTGTAGAATATTATTATACAAAATAAGACTTCACTTTACAAGCGCAGTCGGCATAGAAACTGGCTGGAAGGCCGAGGGGTCGAGTTCGAGTCCCGGTAAGAGCAAGATATTTCTTCTTTCTACGTCGTC